ATGTAATATAAGGGAGTCCCAGCTTAAAGCTCAACTCCAGGCAGATAAAAAGCTCAATTTCATTTAAATATATGCTCATTGGATAATCAGTACATGACTTTGGAAGCAACTAGTGTAAGTGTCTGAATTTGACTTGGTATCAGCCTCTTTCAATGCTCCGTACAGCAGACTCAGACTGGGAGAGGGGATAAATGCAAGGAGTCAGTCAATTGTTCTACAGTGCTAAAGTGATAGCAAAGATCTTGTGGGCAGAAGAAAGGAGCTGAGTGACCAAAAGATGAGCTTATAAAGCTGTTGCTTCTCTTTCACTGTCCAATCATAGGCTGGAAATGATGAAAACAAGGCGCGGGATACAGGTTTTCTATGGGTAAGTTGAATTATCACTGGGCTTACTAGCTCCAGTTTGACATCACTCTAGAAAAACAGGGAAGCCTCTTAGAAAAGGGGGAGAACTGAGAGCCAAATATATGCAGTCTAATGAGAGTGCTAAATAAATGTCCAATAGTTCAAAAATTTTGAATGCTAAAATTGGTTCACAGCAGAAAAACATCCAGCACATTTTGGCTGTAAAACCAACTCCTCCTTCTTCAGGACTCAAGTTTTCCCAGTAGTATGCATATGTTGGCATATTCACTGGGAATGATTCAGGACAGGCAAAACACCTTGAATCTGTGCAGCATAGAGGCATCTATCTCGTGATTAGGCCAATTTAAGAGTCCTGTTATTTAGAAAGCTTGGGTTGGGGTTAAAAGCTTTTGACTTATGAATATTTGTTTGACGCTCCCATTGGACTTTATTCAGGATGGCGGCTGGGACAATATCTATGTGTATTACTTAACCATACAGATAAAATTTAGGTCTCCAGGCCTGGCTGTACTGTCTGGCAGGACTTGGTAAATCTCAGAAATGAATGGACAGAAATAAAAAACCCATGGACATAAAATCACTCATTTTTCATTTGTGCATTCAGCTGTTTTCCTGGAGCTCAGCCTTAAAGCAATGCTGTCACCACTAAAACTGCATTCACACCATATGTGCAGAAAAACTGATGGAAATTGACGTGCAGATTTCACTTGTAGAGACATCACTTTTCATGTGCCCTTCAGTGAGTTTTTTTTTTACACATTGCAGATTCCTGCGCAGAAAAAATCTGCAATGTGATATTAGTGGTATGAACAGGGCACATAGAGAACAGAAGAGAAAAATTCTGCAATCTGCACCATGGTGTGTTTTAAAAAGACTTCTAAAATATCTTCTGAAGGTGTCAAATGCTTTATTCCCCACTACCTGCTGTGGTTCATTTTGCTGACCCCTACATCACTACAGGACACAGGAGTGATGTAGCGGCAAGCTGAAGAAACCACAGCGTACATCAGGGGATCAGACAGCTAACAAACCCAGAAGTTTTTTTTTTTTTTTTTTTTTAAGTTCGCAAACGTGCAAACTACAACGAAAAACCCGTAAGTGATCACAAAAAAAGTGCAAGTGCGAACACCACACGAAAAAGTGCACTTAGGGGTGTGCTTGTCCTACCCCCGAAGGGGTTGAACCGTTACCCTGATCCCCCGGGGCACGAAGCTCCTGACAGGGACAAGGTTCCCATTTGGTCCTCCTGGCCAAAAGGCCTGGTGGACCACCGTTCCTTATGCCCAGCCGAAGCCGGACATCCAGTACTAGGTCAGGGGGTTCTCTCGAAGAGAAAACCCCCTAGGGATCAGGGGAGGAAGGAACCAAAAGGCCACACATTCTCCCCCTAGACTTCAGGGTAGGCCCGAGGACCCACACCCTCCATCCGTGGAAAAACACACACATAAGTAAAGTAAAAAGTGACAAAACGTGGCAGTGCATAATAAATAAATAGAAAAGAAAAAATAAAAAAGTGGTACCGTGCCGAATTGTGCACAGACCAGGCCCTGAGGCCCGTAGCAAAAATTGCCCTGGACTTAGCCAAAAGACCTGGTCCTTAGGGCGCTGTGCAAAAAGAGGTGAAAAACAGTGGCCATGTGTCATCTTCACACCGTGGGGTCCCACACCCAAGTGTTACTAGTGACACCCCTGAGAGCGTCTTCCCCAGGGGGCACTGAGTTTGCGGACTTTTTGCGTCCTCAGCCCCAGGCCAGACCAAGGCAGATCCGTCCAAACCAGGAGGTACTGGGTCTTTCCAGCTTTCCCAGAGGAATTACTCCCAAGGCCCCAGAACGAATCATGGCGCTCCCTGGTTTCTGTCCCTCCGGTCCAGCCTTCCGGACCCCCATCATACCAGTGAGGGTACTATACAACAGCCAGAATGGCCGGTAGCACCCCCACTGGACACTGATAAGAACAGATACTACATTTGATCTTAGCCAAAAGGCCGAGAAGGGCTAACAAACCCAGAAGTGTGTGTGATGCAGAAGCCAGTGGTGTTGGAAGACAGTGGAGATTGGCAGTTCAGGAAGGAGGGGAGGCTTTTAAAACTTTGTCTATCTAGTGAGAGAGTTGCTTTAGTGCCCATGCACATGGATGGAAATACAAGCATATGGTACAACGTAAAATGCACCTGTATTTGTGACACCTAGGAGAGTAAGCTAGTGCACAATTCTGCACCTTGGTATTGTATTGGCAGAATCTGCTATATGCGAGTATACTTTCCTGTTCAGAAAATCAAGCCCATATGCATGCACCTGTAAAATCTGGTATCTGCATTTACAGGTGTGATGAACTAGGAGCGCAGAAAGAGCATGCGGAGACAGATTGCACGGAACCCACCATGTGAGCGTTTATTGGGGAGTTTCGTGGGGGTTTACAGACGATCGGGCAGCTAGTCCACAGAACAACACAAGACACAGCGATGCAGTAGGGTTCTCAAGATGGCACTATGGGACAGCAGGGGGCTGATAGTCCTCCGGGTTCAATAGGATAGAGCAGCGGGGGTACCACAGGAGTTGGAGGCTTTCGGGCAGAATTGGGCTCAGTCCAGCACAGGCAGAGATCCGGGCAGCAAGGGGTAATCCACTCACTGGATGCAGGGAGCAGGACATACAGGCAGAGATCCGGGCAAGCTGGGGTTAATCCACTCACTGATGCAGGACACAGAGGGTTAAATCCACACAGGCAGAGATCCGTAGCAGGCTTGCAATGGAGGAGGCTAGAGGGAGGAGGCTAGAGGGAGGGAGGGGGGGGTCAGTGGAGGGGTCTGGCCGCAGCTCAGACCTCACTCACACTGGTAGGGGAAGCAACCAGGAACCACATGACCAGGGGCCCGCTCTGGCATTAAATATGGAGCCGGGCGCACTCTCATTGCCATGGTAACCCAACGCGGCGTTGGGTTACCATAACAACGGGCACCACCTGCTTGACGCCGACTCCACACAGGGAGCGTGGCCTTTGTCTCTGGTGGGCACGGAGCACGGGAGAGCAGGATGGGGGTGACAGGAGGGGAGCCTGCATGTGGGGAATCCACATGCAAGCACAGCAGGGGAGCAGACTTTCTGGTGCTCGTCCAGAGGAGCAGGATGCTGCCTCGGTAGGGGGGCAGATTGCTGGCAGCAACAGAGTGAGGGGTGCTGGGGGGTAGGGGGTGGCAAGCAGGAACTGGGGGATGGGGGGGAAGACTAGCTCTGTGACAACAGGCATATGTGTATAGGCATAATTTCCTGAACCAGCTGGGGCTCCCAGGTGCTGCAAATACAGGCATATGTTATGCTGTATGTCTATATGCTCATATTTACATCTGTGTGCATGAACCCCTAAAGCTTGCACCCGGATCTTCCCCATTTAGATACATCTCTGCATTTCATCTTGGTTAATTCGGCGTGTGTGACACTGCCTACGTTTTTTTTTATTTGCTTTGTATTGCTTTAGTACTGTTTTTCAGTGAAGGTTCATATGATCATGTAGCACTACCTTCGTGAGGGTCGCTGTGTTGTGGGTACCCCTAAGCTTCTCGCTGCACAACCAGGCAGCAAGTATTTCTCACACAGACTTTCATCCAAGAGACAGTAACCAGTCCATGGGCTTGGTTTTGTTGTTTTATTAGGGGAAATCAACTTGGATAGGGAAATTTATGGGATACCCAGTTTGCTTGAATCAGTGAAAAGGGGACACTTCTTCTTTCCTATGTACAAAGGCAGATCCTGGATTGTTCTTTTCTTGAAAGCCATCAGTCGATGCAGATCAATAGCAACAGCACAACAGCCCTCTATGGGTGAGGAATAGCAGCCCCTCAGAAATCAGCTGCACTTCTCGTAACTACATGCAGGGATTTCTTCTTTCCTCTGTAGAGCTGCTCCCTGCAAACACCACCAGCCCTTCTGGCCTCTTGAAATATCTCCGGGGACAAGGATAAAGGATTGAGCCCAGCACTGTCCTTAGAAAGCTTGCTACCTTTGGCAGTCCTTCCTCTTGATCCCAGAGAGTGCTGCTACACTCGCACTGTCCTCTTTGCTCCCTGCTGCTCCAGGTCTTGAACCCACTCATGTCTCACTGCTGAATGTATTTTCCTGAGCCTCCTGATCCCCCTAGACCTAAGGGACCCTTCTCAGGCACTGACAGTCTCCTCAGCAGTCTATCTTCCACTCGACTCCTCTGTTAGCTTGACTCTCCCATATTTATCAGCCAGTCCACCACTCTACCAGGGCCTCCAAACCTGGGATTGGCCGGACTCCCATAAACATGCAGATTACTCTCCACCACTTCCTGCTTACTGACTTCAGGAAGGTTCTATGGTCCTCCAGAGTCAGGAGGAGGTGATAGAGCCACAACCTGTTAAGTCATCCAGATGACCTGCAATAACCCCACCTCAATCACAGACTCACACAGTTACCATGAGTTATACACAGCGATTTTACCTGCAATACACTACACTATTCTAGTAGCACACTAGAGGGTGCTACAATCATAATTTGGATATTCAAAATTTAGCTAGTATCATGCTGATGCTTTAACCACTTAAGGACCACCCTATAGCAGATATACTGCTACAGGGCGGCACCTGTGCGCAAAATCACGTATATATATGTGATTTTGCATTTCCGGTACATACCGGCACCGCCATTTGCGCCCTCGAATGTCAGTCACAGGGTCCCAGCCGGTAATTACCCGCCGCCGCCCAGTGATTATCAAGCATCTCCAACAGGGAGGAAGATCGTTTTGTTTACAAACAATCTTCCTACCTGTCAGCTTGAGCACACTGCTCGGGATTGCTGTGCACCGTACAGTGTTCAGTGCTTACAGTGAAGAACACACACCTCGCCCCCTAGTAAAACACACGCAGCACACAATTAACCCTTTGATCGCCCCTCACAATAACCCCTTCCTGCCCAGTGCCATTAGTATAGTGTCAGTTCTTTTTTTAGCACTGATCACTGTATTGGTGTCACTGGAGATGTCAGTGACACCAAGTTAGTTCCCCCCTAGTGTCAGAAAATCCACTGCAGTCCCGCTAAAAGTTGCTGATCGCCGCCATTATTAGTAGAAAAGAAAAAATCCCATTATTTATACTGCCATTTGTAAACTATAACTTTCACTTAAACCAGTTAATTTACACGTATTGAGATTTTGTATTAGCAAAGACATGTCGCAGAATACATTTTGGCCTAAATTTATGACAAAATTTGATTTTTTAAATTATTTTACTGGATATTTTTAAGAGCTAAAAATGTAAAAAATATTGTCAAAATTGTCAGCCTTTTTTTGCTTATAGCGCAAAAATAAAAAAACACACAGGCAATCAAATATCACAGAAAGAAAGCTCAATTCGTGGGAAAAAAAATGGACGTAAATTTCATTTGGGTGCAGCTTTGCATGACCACGCAATTGTCAGTTAAAGTAACGCAGTGCCATAATGCAAAAAATGGCCTCGTCATGAAGGGGGGCAAATCCTCAGGAGGGCAAGTGGTTAAAGCAGCCTTTCTCAACCTTTTCAATGCAAAGGAACCTTTGACATAACTTTCCAGTCTCAGGGAACCCCTGCTAAAAATGACTTTATCTACAATTAATGATAAATTAGTGTGATAGAGGTCTAAGAATGCTCCTTACACTTGTGGTCATTGGAAAGAATTATCCCCTTACAGATTGCTAAAAAGATCAATGGTGTCAGTGGGAATTTACCTGAGAGACAAAAATTGCTGATTGCTCAAGGAACCCCTAGCAACCTCTGGAGGAACCCTGGTTGAGAAACCCAGCTTTAAAGTAAGCAGATTCTCAGATGGCACAACGTTCTTTGTGGGATAGATTTAACAATGGGAATTTATTTTGGCTGGGTAAACACAATCGCATTTTAACAAAACTATCCAAACGCATGTGGAAAATGGGTGCTTTCCAATGAATAAATCATAGTGTAAAGTCTAAAAATGGAATCTTTTCCAGCACCGCAAAGAATTTTCTTCCCATTGAAAACAAGACCTACAAGGTTGCATGCTTATTATATTTTACTTTGCAGACAATTGATGAAGGCACAGGATAGATTTTCTTTATATGGTAGTTCACAAGTAGAACTATTGCTAGATTTTGGTTTTCAGTACAATGTGTAGTTTTTTTTCTTTTTACGAGAACAGCAATAAGTTCAAACATTATTAATAGAAGTATAATATAGATTCCAAAGTTGCAAGTGTCCTTTCTTCATAAAATCTTTATCTTTGTCTCATACTACAAGCTTGGATTACACAAGCACCATCACTAAATATATGTCTCTCTAATGCAAATAAGCCTACTATCTTGCATTTACATTTTTTGGACTCAAACTTTTCTAAATCTCTATTTCGGCTGTGTCTCTGCTAGGGAGATTCACCCTCTCTGTTTTTTCTGGTGACCTTTTTCACCAAGCCAGAAAGTGAAGATAAATCCAAACTTTTAGAGGTGTCCCTGGAACAGTATTAGGGCAAAGTCATCCATTAGGAACACCTACCCAATGACAATCGCCTATTAATGATTTCCTCTCACATTAAAGTGATTTTCTTCCAATTCTCCCTTTCCGCCAAAACAGGAAATGAGGGAAAGATCCCTAACAGGACACACATCTAAAAAAATAAAACCCAATAACAAAGGTTTTACCCATACCTTATCCAAAACAAGTAAATTATCTCAGCAAATCGATGCCAACATTTAGATGTGTTAGAAAATCATTGGTCTTTAGATCTCAGCAGAGACTGTCCATTAGTATAGAGAGCAACAGGAAGAGGCTTTGAAGTTGGGTCCTAATTTGCAGCTTGGGTGAAATAAAGTATGAGTTCTTACATTATGTTTTGTAACCATAGTTAGCTAAGAGGTACCCATATATTGTGTGTGTGTGTCTATATATATATAGATAGATGGATGGATGGATAGATAGATAGATAGATAGATAGAATTTAGTAGTAGTAATATGTATATTTATATATATATAATATATAATTTAGTAGTAGTGATTCATTGTTTCTTCCTGTCATGTAGCTGCTTGCACGTATGAGGTACGAGCAGACAGCTTACACAGACAGTCTGCAGGGTCCTGCATTGCACCTCTGATCTGCTGATCACAGGTGCAATGCTTTTCAGGCTCCTAATAAAAAAACAACTTTTTTACCTGCAAAAATATGTGTGTTTTTATTATTTTTTATAAATATGATCGTATCCTTTAAGGAGAACAGGAGAACATTTGACCATATAAAATACTCACTGTAGAGCGAGTAGTGGTTAGTCGAATTCAAGAGATTTTGCAGCTTATGCAAGCCACTTCTTCGGCTCTATTTATAGAAGACCAGTTGATTGTGATTAACCACTACTAGCTGTACTACTACTAGCTGTACTATTACCTGGATAATCGAAACCTTCATTAATTCATTGCAAATATATTTCAGTTAATTGAAGGGAAACTTTTGGCCATGTTTGGTAGAACATTGAGGCATTATTTTGATAGAGCAGTGATACGGTAAAAGTTGAAAAGTTGTGAAACTGTCCACTGCTTTTGATAGGCCTTATATTATAATTTTTTACTTGTAATTATTACAATATAAAATCCTTATTATACTCAAGATAAGCATATACCATTTGCCAGTAATGTGTGTATTTGTTTGTGTGTGTGTCTGTGTGTGTGTATGTATGTGTGTATATGTGTATATATATATATCTTAGATTGTAAGCTCTCAGGAACAGGGCCCTCTGAATCCTCCTGTATTACGGTAATTTGTATTGTAATTGTACTGTCTGCCCTTTTGTTGTAAAGCGCTGCGTAAACTGTTGGCACTATATAAATCCTGTATAATAATTATATATATTTACTAAGGAACTGTAATGCATTTCAGTGTTTTATTTGGCTGTTGATTGGTAGACGTGTATTAAAATCAAAGATACACTTTCAAAGTATCACATTGTCTAACGTGTTGGTATCACACAGAAGACTCTAACGTCTATGAGCACAATAACCTTTCAGCAGAAATGTTAAGGCTTCCGTTGGTTCCTAAGGAAAGTCTTAGTCATGAAGTAGGAAATTGGTACATCCCTGTGATCTTCAGCTTGATGAAGCCTCCATTCGCATATCAAAAGCAGCTAAAATGATCTGAATACTGTTACATTATTTAGCTGAATGTAAGCACAGTGAGATTCTATGAAATTAAAATATGAAGTTACCGACTTGCATTGTCAGTGACTTGCAGGGTTATAAAACTTGGTACATGGACACCTTTTTCATTTAAAGAGTGTAATTTATATTCCTTTGAAATTATTTTGCTTGTCTTTTAGCACTTTCAATGACCGGCCAATGTGCAGAATATGCCATGAAGGAAGTAACCAAGAAGATCTCCTTTCTCCATGTGAATGTACTGGAACATTAGGGACAATACACCGCAGCTGCCTGGAACACTGGCTTTCATCATCCAACACCAGCTACTGTGAACTTTGTCACTTCAGGTTCTCTGTGGAACGCAAGCCTAGACCATTAGTGGAGGTCAGTCAGTAATGTACTGTTACGACTTTAAAGTTACTCTGACTTGATTCTTTCTGACATTTGATTCTGCGCTGCCTTCTGCCATCACAGGCATTGGAGTTGAGTTTGGTGCAAAACATGTCTTGTAGTTCTAAATGTTTGTGGTACATATCAGATTTTGTTTATTATTTAGCTCAACTAATATGCGTCGGTTTTTAGGAATTTTTTTATATTAATATATAGTAGTAAGTCTTTAAAAAAAAGCTAATGGATGACTGCACCACTAACCTCTACATTAGTGAAGAAAAACCGCCAATTGAAGATCCGGTAGAATCCAACATTCTGGGGAAGAAGTCAGATTCTTGGTCTCTCAGTGAACTTGGGTTTTTTTTTCCATCGTCACGTTGTCATTACTGAAGTGACATAGAAGCTTTCAAGTGAATCCATAATTGAAGAGTCAACACATTTCCCTCACAGATTGTGTTGGATTTTCAGCTGGCTCTTTATCTTCACTGCATAGATTGGCAACTAGGCACCAGGGAAGGTGATTTTTCAGTGTCTTATTTGCCTGGAGCCATTGAATGTAAAGTTTGATTTTAGCAACAGGGATGCTAGTATACTTATCAGCAAAAAATAAAAACCAGTCTGTAAACGTTGCATACATTATAAACAGAATGGCCACCTTTAATTCTTGTAATGCTCATCCATTCATACAATACATACCTGATGATCCTGCCAGTCCAAAACCCTTTCTCCACAGGATGACAACGCTATTTCAACTACAGTAAATTCACTGCAACATTGTCCTCCTGTGCAGCTGCGTCCTGATGTACACTGAGGAGGTGTGTTATCATTGTTGTCACTGAGGACAACCCCCTCCTCCCTAACAATCCGACCAAGACACATGTCTACCAGAGCCAGGTGAAGGGATCCAAGAGGAGCCCAGTTGTTACTTCCACAAGATGCAGGCCATCCTCTTGGAACTCTACTCCTGACTGCAGCAGAGTGAAAACGTCTGAGGCACCTGTGGCGACATCATCGTAAGTAAAAAAATAAATAAGTATATCTAAAAAATAAAACAAATCAGAAAAGCATCTACAAAGGTAGACACCTTATCTGGAAAAAAAAGGTAGGGCATGTTCTACTTTTTTTTTTCAGTGCAGGGCAGTGCGCATCGGTGCAATGAAATGCGCATCAGTGCAATGAAATGCGCATCAGCACAGTGAAATACATTGCTTTTACAATTGTATTCATCAGCACATGCCAGCACATTTGAATGGATCCTAAGTCTGCAGACTGCAGTTTGCTTTTCCTAAGCGATTATTATTCTCTCCATCGATCTAAATATTGGCAACTAAGTAGTGCACATACGTTATTTTTCTTGAAATTCTCTAAGCACTGTTTCTATGTTGAAACACTTGTCATCTCTTAAAACATCAAATAAATAAATCTTTCATTGTCTGCATGAAGCTGGCTGACTTTCAGTATAGTGTAACTTGTAATTAAATAACAGAAGCAATAAAAACATATGTTGTATACAGTAATTTTGG